CGGGTATCATGGACTTGGGGTTTGAAAACCTAAGGCAATAGACACAAATGTTTCTAGTGTTGTCTAGTGTTGTTGGAAGCTTGCTCCAGTCCCTGATTGTCTTGGGCAGGAATGAGCAGTTCCTATACTGGCTTCTCACTGGTGTGAGCCGGAACTGCCTGTCATGGCCTCGTCGCTGTCTATGGGGGAGAGGGACGAGTTTCTGTTTGATGCTGGAGAAGTTGACCAGCCCATTATTCATCTTGTACATCATGGAGAGCCTGGATTGTCGTCGTCGTTCCTCCAATGGTGACCAGCCTAGTGTTTCCAGCACGCTGCCAACACTGGAGGTGTTCCTGTAGCGGTTCAGGACAACGCATGCTGCCCGTCGATGGAACGCCTCATAAGACTCCCAATCAGTGCGCCCCTCCCTCTACCCCCCACCCCCCGCTAAAGCTCGCAACCGCACATTTTTGTTCACGCCCCTGAAGTCAATTATTATTCTAATGCCCCACCCGCTTTTAGACTGCAGAATTATTAAGTCCCCTGTTTCAGAAAAGAAAAAAAAACTATTACGCACCAAACGCACTCGCGATATTTTTGAGAGTCTCATGTAGCGCGGTTATCGGGAATTTAGTTTCGTGAAATCAGTGGCATCATATGTTCTTCGTCTCCCCCTTGAAAAATAGGGGAAAAAAACCCTGATTTTGCTGGGGTTGGGGGTGAGGATGAAAATACGAAAGAATGTGTTGACACTCGTGCGCCGAGTTTCAGCTCGATAGGATGACAGGAAGTGGGTCAATAAGCCATCGGAAGATGTGGCCACAATCCCAGAACGAAACACGCGAACAAAAGCGAAGTTAATTTAAAGGATCTTCAATTTTTATTTCTTTTAAAGATACTCTCTACATCCTCTTGGTGGAACTTAAAATAAGCCACCTGCGGATGTTACACAAATCAAACATTGATGTTGTTATGAAACTCTCAGTCTACAGACCAAAAAGATGTTCCTGTGGATTTCTTCCATTCTGGTGGCTTACAGTTCCCATTCCCCTAAGAAAGCTTTTTATAACGTCACTAGTCTAAATATAAAATATATTTTAATGAGCAGAATCTATTTTTTTTTATTCAACAAAATATCGAAGAAACCAGAACAGATGCTTAGCTGAGATTTCGAATATCGGTGCCCCAAAATAACCATAGGAACATGTCTGAAAACAAAGACCGCTAATACAATCCTGTCGCTTACTTGGTAGTTCACAAGTGGGTTGAGCAACTCAACAATACAAGGGCAGACAATCCTTCTAGGCAACGAACAGTGTTTCGAACAGAGACGTCCCTTACTCTTCACATTTTTTTCACACGAAAATACACATTAAACACATTCTTTTATCCCTGGCGTAATTCGGGGGGTGGGGGGGGAGGGGGGCAAGAGGTGATGAATCCTGTGGGGTGTTATTAAATGCGTCATTTATACCAATGATATTCCAGGAGTATCCATTTTTAGTTCCACCTCCATACTTTTTTATCCTACATTGTCCTGGATCAATCTAAAACAGCGTAGATAAGGGGTGGGGGGGAGATCAGAGCGGAGGGAGAGAGTGAGCTCCAGACTAGATGGGGTGACATATAGGCTTAGATGGCCTCTTATTGATGTAAAGATCTACATTGTCCTGGATCAATCTAAAACAGCGTAGATAAGGGGTGGGGGGGGGAGTTCAGAGCGGAGGGAGAGTTTGAGCTCCAGACTAGTTGGGGTGACATATAGGCTTCGATGGCCTTTTATTGATGAAAAGAAAGGTTTTACTGATAAGTGGGAGGGGGTGGGGGTTAAATGAATCTTGCCCCCTGGCTCCAAACAATCTAGCTACGCCTCTGTCAGTCCATGATAAGCAAATAAGGCGTATCGGCAGGGCTGCTCGTGTGCGTCGAGTGAGATAAAGCGTCGGAGCAGCACAAACTGTGTCACTACGATCAGAGCATTGAGGACCACTGTTGTGGACAGGTTTTGACACCAGAGGGTGCGATAACATAAAAAATACCCACTCGCCAAATAGCGATGTATTGATTTGTTTTTATTTCCGAAGCGCTGGAAATCCAAAAGGTGAACAATAATGTGAAAGCAATACCATGTTAGAAATAGTATGTTGTATAACAAGGATACCCTTTTAAACCTAATATGTAGTTTGTTGTTTTAACCAATAGCCTGTCCAAACCTATTGCAACATGGTTTTCATGTCTTGCAAAGTTCTGGTTGCTTTGTTATGCTTCAAGCCAATATCAAGCTATCCATCAATTGTAATTAAGACCAAAGGCTGTGTCACACGATGGGACAGTTTCATCAAAGTATTGCATTCTGAACGATCCTGTCACCAGGTATCAATCAAGTCTTTACTACACTGCATTCTGAACGATACTGTCTCAAACTATACACCAGGTATCAATCAAGTCTTTACTACACTGCATTCTGAACGATACTGTCTCAAACTATACACCAGGTATCAATCAAGTCTTTACTACACTGCATTCTGAACGATACTGTCTCAAACTATGCACCAGGTATCAATCAAGTCTTTACTACACTGCATTCTGAACGATACTGTCTCAAACAATACACCAGCTATCAATCAACTCTCCACTGACATTTAAATTTTAAAAAAAACTATTGTCTGATGCTTCCCTCCACAAGGTTTCCTAAAAGCATGGTTAATATGATGGAATGGAAAATATTCAGAAAGTTATGTGGGTCTGTAGCTAATAATAATTTATGGAGTTTTTGGACCGATCTTGATACGTATCACTTGTTCGAGGAACCAACCCCAGTAACGGCACTTTAAAGAGGCAGAGCCGAGCTGGGCAGTGCGGGGCAGTACCGGGAAATGTAGGCCAGTGCTTCTAACTTCAGGGCAGTGCTGGTAAGTTCAGGGTAGTGCCGGCAAGTTCAGGGCGGTGCTGGGAAGTGTATGACCTTGCTGTTAAGTTCAGGACAGTACTGGGAAGTTCACGGCAGTGCTGGGAAGAGCAAGACAGTGCTGGGAAGTTCAGGGCAGTGATGGGAAGTTCGGGGCAGCAGAGGCGTAGCGAGTGGGTGGCAGGGGGGACAGATGTCCCCGGGCGCCAGCTAGTTAGGGGCGCCAAAATGTGCTTTGATATTATTTTATTGATGGAAATAATGGGTTTGAGAGTTGAAAAAAGGAAAAGGGGGCGCTTTAAAATGGATCTTGTCCCCGGGCGCGAATCTTGTCTCAGGGCACCAAACACCCTCGCTACGCCTCTGCAGGGCAGTGCTGAGAAGTTCAGGGCAGTGCTGGCAAGTTTAGGGCAGTGCTGGGACGTGAAGAGCAGTGCCCGGCAGGATTGTCTACATGTCTGCAAAGGATTCTAATTTGATCACACAGCATACATCGCCAAAACATGTTGGGTCGCACCTACTAAATTTGAAAGCTATGATCTTCTCTTTTTTTTTAAATTAAAAGGCTTCCATCGTGTATTTGGGTTGCTTAGGACACAGTGCAGTAGCAATAGATTTGAAGACTTATCTTTTTCGCAAACACCTGCTAGGGTGATGTTGTCTATCTAGCTATTATCATTTAGTTGTATATTGGCCTGTGTTGTTCATGGTTGCAAGGTATGAAAGACTTAGAATGGGTATTCTTGTATGTAGTTTTGTAAGGTTGAATATTGCACTTCATTTTGGTGTGTACAGCACTTCAAGCCTTTGGGGATGAAGCGTGATTTTTAAATAATCTTTATTATTATTATTATTATTATTATTATGATTGTGCAGATATCTTATTATTTTTTTATTCATAATTGTTCCATCCCCTTTTATTTCAAATACATAGAGTTAAAAACACTTGGAATTATTTTTGAACATATTTTTTTTTAAATTTATACAAACACAATTAATAAATAGACTATAGTCCTATACTAAGTGACATAACACAGTAGGTCAAAGGGCATTTAAACATAGTAAGATGACATAAGAAAGTAGGTCAAAGCGCATTTAAACATAGTAAGATGACATAAGACAGTAGGTCAAAGTGGATTTAAACATAGTAAGATGACATAAGACAGTAGGTCAAAGGGCATTTAAACATAGTAAGATGACATAAGAAAGTAGGTCAAAGTGTATTTAAACATAGTAAGATGACATAAGACAGTAGGTCAAAGTGCATTTAAGCATAGTAATATAACATAGGACAGTAGGTCAGAGTGCATTTAAACATAGTTAAGTGACATAAGTGATTAGGTCAATTTGATTTAAACATAGTAAAGTGACAGAAGACAATAGATCAAATTGCATTTAAACATAGTTAGGTGACAATGGACAGTAGGTTAATATTTTTATGTTCGTTTGCACATAAAATATTGCTAAACATAGTAATAACAATATTTTTTTAAAAATTAAATTTTAATTAAATCAATTTTAAAAATTTTAAATATTTTTTCAAAAATTTACATTTTCCATGATATTCTAATAAAAATGATTATCAAATATCTTACATTATAAAAATAATTTTTAAAATGCATAATGCTGTTAATTTAAAAAAAAAATAGCCATAGTATTAATATTCTATTCTATATCTGATATATATATAAATAATTTCAATTTAAATTTTAATTATTAAATCGAAAAACTGAAAAAATTTAATTGAATGAAAAATGAAATTTTTGAATGAAAAAATTTAAGCATTCATAATTATATACTCGTAAATAATTAAAAATTCATAATAATACATAATTACAAACAGATTTTAGCCATTGGTTTTAAACTAGATTACATAAATAAATTATAATTAAAATCAATTAAGCTTTTTAAAAAACATTTAGATCCTGATTTTTGGGGTCAAGATATAAATCATCTAAGCCCTAATTTGACAAATTGGGCCGCTGACATTTTAACCTACAGGTGTGTCGGTGATTTTAGGAATATCAATCAGAAGATTATTTTCGGAAGGCGAGTACATTGCAAACTTGACAGGCTGCTAAGCTTCAAAGCATACGGGCAGTGTCGACCACTATCCAACTGCTGTACGGGCGATTTCTGTCCGAAACATCAACATGTCTTTGAGAGGATTGGGGAGCTGGGAATTCCCGATGCGGTCCACTCTTTCGGGGCTCTCGCCCATCATTGTGGAAGCTGCTATGAAGGCAAGATTGACCAATGGCCAGGGTTGGCAAGCAGCTCTTTGAATCAATGCGTCCATTTTGCTATGATCAGGACCGAATCTTGCTGGCAAGGTGCACATGTAGCTTTGATTGTGTCTCAGTCTTATGTAGGTCAAATCTTTATTCGATACGTAGCAATTAGCAAGAATATATCTCAACAAGTCATAGTTGCCATGGCATAGACATAATTCTACATTAGTATCCAGTAGAATGGGAAAATAGCTCTTAAAACTTTTCGTACTGACAATGCCGATGCAAATCAAAAGTCTTAGAAGTTCATTTATCTCCTTACCAACAAAGACAGTAGGACATCGTTGTAGTAGAATGTCACGGTATTTTGACTTCAGCACTGGTTTCGCCCCCAGTTTTAAAAGTTCAATGACCTTTGAACTCATTCCCCAAGCCAGCAGTACTTGAGTCAAAGTTGTTCTACCCTGGTAATCTTCGGCTTCAAGATCAGCTCCATGTTTCACCAGTTTGTGACCGTAGTCCTTTTGATTGGTCCTGCTGTAGGTGTACATGAGGGCAGTGCGGCCAATGTTATCTTTAAGGTTAGCGTCCGCACCATGTTGCAGCAGAAGGTCCAAAATTCTTAATTGAACTATTCTTTGTATCTTTGTTTCAAAGCGAATGAGAATCGAAATGCTCGTTGCATACATTAAGGCAGTTTTCCCCTTTTTATTCTGAAGATTCACATTCGCCTTTGCTGCGAGGAGACGCAGAATAAGGCGAACCTCTGAAACTTTGAGTGCAGCGATTAACGGTGTGTCCCCATAGAGATCCTTCATATTGACATTAGCGCCATGTTTTAACAATAAATTCAGGACGTCATACTTTCGTCGTTTCACGGCACAGGGCATCGGAGTTTGGCCGTGCATGTTTCTTAAATTGACATCTGCACCTGCTTGAACAAACAACTCTGCAATGTCTTTATTGCCGGCCAATGAAAGGCCAGTGTTTCCAAACTTTGTCAAAGAAAGAGGATCAGCTCCCGCCTCCATGAGGAGCTTTACTGTCTCAGTACAGCCAGACTTGGCAGCCATGAGCAGCGCATTTTCACCTCGTTTGTTTCGAATATTGACGTCTGCTTCCGCCGCCAGCAAGACTTTGGCGACATTTTGAAAGCCATGTTTCAAGGCTCTCATCAAAGCTGTGTTGCCATTTTCAGACTGGATATTTGCAGAGGCTCCATATTTCAACAGCAGTTTGACATTCTTCCCACGGCCATTAGCCGCTGCCTTGTACAGTGGCGTTTCCGATCTGTTATTTAACATGTCCAAGTTGATCGTCTTCTCGTCTGTACATCTACGTCTCTTGTTTCCCAGCTTGATTTTTTTCTTGTCTTTTGCACGAACAGTTTGTACAAGGATACGTTGCATAATTCGAGGTTGTTTGCACTTTGCAGCAAAATAAATATTATATAACAGTGATTCTTAATTTTTTTCCCGCTACCACTCCCACTCCCTTGAGGGTCATGGTGTCCCCTATCTTACCTGATTATGAGATTTCTTAGGTAAACTCTTTCCACGACCCTAAATGGAAAATATTTATACAGCTAAAATATACAAATGTGAAATTTTAATCAAAATAAAAAAATAAAAAAAATTAAAACTGTCATAATTGATGCGATGAACTAGTTGATTAGCTTGATAATGGGTTACATCAGTTGTTGTTGTTTTCAAGTAGAGTTTTTCTTTCTTTTGGTTATCTAACGTCTTATCTGATCAAATATTCTTAACGCGATGTTTTGGCTTAGTGGAGCGTTAGCAGCTTGTAGATGTCAAGAGGCTCAGCCGAGACTTAATTCACAATGATTATTTTTATATTGATATAATTTCTCTGCAAAGGCAAATTTTTATACTTTGTTCGGCTGAGTTTGTAAAAGTATTACATTAATAACAATGTGACGTGTGATGTTTATAGTAAGGTCAACAATAAGAGAATCACGTGTGTCTTCAAAAAATCTCCACTACATTATCAGACATCTTGTAGAATTCAATCTTGAACTTGTATTTTGACGACAATGAATCTAAACATGAAGGGGCGGTTGTTCTACGTCTTCATGCGTCTCAACGCAGAGCTCAGAGATTAGTCAAACATTGAGAGCAGAGCTCAGAGATTAGTCAAACATTGAGAGCAGAGCTCAGAGATTAGTCAAACATTGAGAGCAGAGCGCAGAGATTAGTCAAACATTGAGAGCAGAGCGCAGAGATTAGCCAAACATTGAGAGCGTCCGCTTAAGTTTAAAACACTTCAGTCATACGGTAGTTGAAACACTTCAGTCATACGGTAGTTGAAACACTTCAGTCATACGGTAGTTGAAACACTTCAGTCATACGGTAGTTGAAACACTTCAGTCATACGGTAGTTGAAACACTTCAGTCATATGGTAGTTGAAACACTTCAGTCATACGGTAGTTGAAACACTTCAGTCATACGGTAGTTGAAACACTTCAGTCATACGGTAGTTGAAACACTTCAGTCATACGGTAGTTGAAACAAAACATTATATAAGGAACCTGAAAGTCTGTGAGTATTGTTTACAGTTCGTAACTGTGTGTTGCTAGGCGACATTGCCGTGACGTTATACACAGCTGTACTACTGGAAATACTGAGAGAGAGAGAGAGAGAGAGAGAGAGAGAGAGAGAGAGAGAGAGAGGGGGGGGGAGAGGAAAAACAATATGTATAGACAGAGAGTATTATGAAATTTGAGTTACGTAGGGTTATAGATATGTGAATAGTGATGTTGTGAATAGTGATGTTGTGAATAGTGATATTGTGAATGGTGATGTTGTTAATGGTGATGTTGTTAATGGTGATGTTGTTAATGGCGATCTTGTGAAAGGCGATGGTCTTAATGGTGATATTGTGAATGGTGATGTTGTTAATGGCGAAATTGTGAATGGTGATGTTGTTAATGGTGATATTGTGAATGGCGATGTTGTTAATGGTGATATTGTGAATGGTGATGTTGTTAATGGTGATATTGTGAATGGTGATGTTGTTAATGGTGATGTTGTGAATGGTGATGTTGTTAATGGGGATGTTGTGAATGGCGATGTTGTTAATGGTGATATTGTGAATGGCGATGTTGTTAATGGCGATGTTGTAATGGTGGTGTTGTTAATGGTGAGGAATGGTACGGAAGCTGACGTCCATTTTTTTTAAAGAATACTTTTAAAATAATAAAATAATAACTGCACAGTCATTTGCATAAGTTTAGAACCACTGTAGGTTCTGGCCAAAGATAATACATACAGTAGCGATATGAAGGCAAGTTGCGTTCTTTATGTTACATTTTAATCGATAACCCAAGAGATGCTGTATCGCGCTTGATACCCTATTAGGCTGATAAACTAGTTTTCTGGGTAAGTTTTGTGCAACTAGCTAATGCAAACATTTAAGAATGAAAGTTTGTGGAGTAAAACTAGAAGAGTAAATAAAATATCAGAGCGATCATAGTTCCTTATTCGGTGTATGAGTTTCAGGATCCATTTTTGAGATTTTGAATTGGGCGTAAAATGAATGCTTGTGAATGCAATTCATTCCCATCAATAACACTGTTGACTTATTCACTAGAGCTCTCTGCTCGTCGCAAACGACTTTTTTTTTATGTTTGCAAACTACGAAACGAAGGTCCGTAGATTGAAATGGGAATAGGTGCTCCAAGAATGATTCACTTAACATATGAACTTACTCTATTTAACGGGTTGAATTTATTTTCCAACTGAATCATTTCATTTTGCGAGCTTGTATCGGCCTATACATGTGCTCCTCGATTGTCCGATGAATAAATTGATCTTAGGACAAAGAAATTCGTTTAAAGTGAGCTGTAATTATTTGTTTTCTTTGTTTATGTGCTTCCCCCCCCCCCCATATTTTGTATTTTGATTTAATGAAAGAAATTAAGTTGTGGGCGATGAGTTTGTTTTTGTGTGTGTGTGTACCAAGGACAATTAAAATTTAAAATAAAAGCATTTGAGATTATTTATAGTTGAACGATCCAATCTTAGCAGTGGCGTAGCTGGGGTGGGTCTCACACGATGCTGTAAACTGATGGTGTCACCCCCCAGCCCCTGCCCCGGACTTACACGATGGATTTCTTCGTGTTAAAATAAGTCCACAGTATAACAAAGGAGAATTATAGCCATTTACATTGTTTCTATAGTATAGTAGTTACTATCCTAGTGTCTCATTTTTATTTTACTTAGTTTACATGTTTTTCATAATTGTAAAGCGCTTAGAGCTTATGGTAAGCGCTATATAAAAATGCCTAAATAAATAAATGTCAGGAGTTAATCTATTTTAGAACTGTAGCACAGTTAACTTTGAGTTATTTTTACTTTCAATTTACGTTATAAAAAAAAAAGTGTCTGTTAAAATTACTGAGTCGGTTCATGTACTTAAAATCGCCCCTTCAAGTCACATTTGGTGTCAATGGAAAAAAATTTTTCTCAGAATTTAGATAAATATAGCTTCCTGTCACTAACGAAAGATATCGAACACATTGAACGGCGTTGAATCATTGTCAAAACGTACTTTTTCGAACCTAATTTTAGGGTTACCTCATTTCTGACCCATCAACCTTGAACTTTTAATTAAAGCACGCATTTGGATTGGTTACATGTGTGGAACATTTAGGTTTGATCGGTTTGCCTTTATGAAATTCGGTTAGACCGAGCAATGTGTGCTCTGTAATTATGCAATTATTCAATTTGGTGTCACACCTTAGATGGTGTCACCCGGTGCGGTCCACAACCCATGCACCCCCTTAGCTACGCCACTGCATCTGAGATAAAGTTATAGCGAAAAGAAACTATTTGAGATAGTGTTTTAGATAATAGAAGCTATTTGAGATAGTCTTATAGCTCAAAGAAACAATCTCAGATAGTCTTATAGCTAAAAGAAACAATCTCAGATAGTCTAAAGCTAAAAGAAACAATCTCAGATAGTCTAAAGCTAAAAGAAACAATCTCAGATAGTCTAAAGCTAAAAGAAACAATCTCAGATAGTCTAAAGCTAAAAGAAACAATCTCAGATAGTCTAAAGCTAAAAGAAACAATCTCAGATAGTCTAAAGCTAAAAGAAACAATCTCAGATAGTCTAAAGCTAAAAGAAACAATCTCAGATAGTCTAAAGCTAAAAGAAACAATCTCAGATAGTCTTATAGCTAAAAGAAACAATCTCAGATAGTCTAAAGCTAAAAGAAACAATCCCAGATAGTCTAAAGCTAAAAGAAACAATATCAGATAGTCTAAAGCTAAAAGAAACAATCTCAGATAGTCTTATAGCTAAAAGAAACAATCTCAGATAGTGTTATAGCTAAAAGAAACAATCTCAGATAGTCTAAAGCTAAAAGAAACAATCTCAGATAGTCTAAAGCTAAAAGAAACAATATCAGATAGTCTAAAGCTAAAAGAAACAATCTCAGATAGTCTTATAGCTAAAAGAAACAATCTCAGATAGTGTTATAGCTATAAAAAAATATCAGAGATAATGTTAAAAAAAGCAAATTATCAGAGGTAGTGTTATAGATGAAAGAAACTATCTGAGATATTCTTATAGATAAAATAAACTCTCTTATACGGTGTAGTTAAAAAGACAGCTTGATTTGGTGTACTGGTAATTTAAAGAAACTTTCTGAAATTATGTCGCTAACAAAGGAGAGTATCCCATTGAAGTTTCATTTATCTAATCGATTTGATTTCCATAAACGTAAAGGTAAACTTTTTTTGTGGATGCCTGATAACTACCATTTTTGAAAGGTCGAATAACTACTTCATAGTTTTTTGTTTAAAAAAAACGTTTAGTGACCTTATTAATTTTTTTTCTAAATAGGTTCATTAATAGGATACCAACCACAGTCCATTGGATCTCCTTCTCATTGGCATAACTGGCAACGGGAAAAGTTCGACTGGCAATTCAATTTTGGGTCGATATTTTTTTGTGAGTAACAGTAGTACGGAATCTGTTACAAGTGAATTGAGTTATGAACACGCTGAGTACAATGGTCGGATTCTTAAAGTAGTGGACAGTCCAGGTGTAGGGGACACCAGTGGCATTGAGAACATTGAGAAAGCCACGATACTCGTCATGGACGCCATGCAAGATGCAATACTCTTGAACCCAAAAGGTTACCACGCATTCCTGCTAGTGGTCCGATACGGTGGCAGATTTACTTTTGAGGATAAAGAGGTGATTAGAATATTAAAGGGGACAATCCGCTCTAGCCGGAAGATAAACAGAAATATTGAAAGCCATAGAGGGGGGAATAACATTAACAGAGAAGGCACAATTTTTAAAGTCTCTCAAAAAATACCAAACTGAGAAGGAAAGAGAAAAATTAAGAATAAAAAACATTGGACATTCGGTGAAGATGACAATGGCCTGCGGAATAGTTGACATATATATCGCTATCGATGAGGAAGTTCAAAATTAATACGGATTCACGTCATCAGACTCCATGGATGAAAACATTTCAGTTGAAGTTCACATACTAAATTTCCGGAAAGCGTAACTAGAAATAAAAAAAAAAATATTGTAACATCATTACATAACAATTACCTTTAAAAGTGTTTAAAAAACGGGGAAGGTGTCCAAAGTTATCACATCTTATAGAACATTTATCAAGTATAAAGATGTGATAAACGCATTGTCAGTTATCATCTCAAATCTAACTAAGGCCTCAACTCTGTTATCTAACTAAGGCCTCAACTCTGTTATCTAACTAAGGCCTCAACTCTGTTATCTAAGTACGGCCTAAACTCTGTTATCTAAGTACGGCCTCAACTCTGTTATCTAAGTACGGCCTCCACTCTGTTATCTAAGTACGGCCTCAACTCTGTTATCTAAGTACGGCCTCAACTCTGTTATCTAAGTACGGCCTCAACCCTGTTATCTAACTACGGCCTCAACTCTGTTATCTAAGTACTGCCTCAACTCTGTTATCTAGGTAAGGCCTAAACTCTGTTATCTAAACTAAGGCCTACACTCTGTTATCTAAGTAAGGCCTCCACTCTGTTATCTAACTAAGGCCTCAACTCTGTTAAAACACTGTTCAAAAAATATATACAATCTTCACTGAACGTGAATGATAATTTGTTTCAATGTCTGATCTTGACGACAATTTTCTTATTGTTTAAGTGAGGAGCCGTTTGAATAAATGACCTCTGCTAAGAAAAGATTTACGAACCCGCAGCCAGTAACAGATTACTAGCAACCATAGCCACAGTTTCTATTCCGTAACAGAGCCGTGTGTGGCTTTCAAGCGGCCAGTGCCGAGTCAATATAAATTAGTGTTGTTGGGTTGTTGTTTTTTTTCAATTTTCTTCAACCGGAATGACAGATATTAAAGAGTGCTCCAAATGAAACCTTTGTGACTTAAAGTTAAACATAATAGTAGAGAGCACTTTATAAATATCTTGATTTTACTGATGTCTTCTTCTTGTTCTATATCTTAAGGGCCCACGATCAATTTGTTGATCATTTTGGCTCCTATGCAGATGGGATTTGCAATGTTTCTGTTACTGGTGTTGATGAGGAAATCATGCACTAGGGGTTTGAAGGCTTGATGTAATTAATTGTATGACTTTGCTTTTTAAGAAAAAGAAAAACCGTTTAGTTTAAGTTATCTGTGACTTTGCCCCCCCCCCCCAAAAAAAAAACAACAAAAAAACACTCTTCCGTAGAAACTAGTACGCCACTAACAGCAGATCCATTGCGTGTTTGTTAAATTT